CTGCCAAATCTTGTCATCAGACAATGATTTTTGATGGGAAACTGAAGCCATTATAGCTCTCTTTTCAAATCCAGACTCCATAGAGAAAAACAGCAAATTTTGCATTCCTGAACAAAGGAGCTGCCAGTCTACTGCTGCCTCGATCAGTTATTTTGTTTGTGTTATTGTATGACTTTTATGTTTAAAGTGGTTGGTTTGGATTCAACAAAGTCACATAACATCACAAACTAACTAACTAATCGAGGTAGCGGCAAACCAGCAGCTCTCGTTTTCAGTGAACTTAAATTAGTGTTTTTGTCAGTGGAGTCTGGTGGCTTTGATATAAGCATAGATGGGTAACTGAAGTCATTAACAGCTTCCCTGTGGGAATCAGCCAGAATTTTTTAGGTAGCTAAAATACGTCCACAGCAGTAGATTGTTAGCTTTCGTGTCAGTACTCCTGCCTCATCTCCAAACTGGGGGAATACAGACATCTACTGCTGATAATACACTGACTATGGATGAGTATATCATATAACCCTACTTCAATGCTATTTAGGTATCCAGCTACCTAGCATGCACAGTAACACAGCTCTGTAACTGACATACCTTAATTGAGTGCAACTATTGTTAATGTTATGAGATCTTACTATGCTTTCCTGATGTGAATAAAGGCCTATAGGTTACAAAAAATAATCATGTCTATTAATAAAACATTTATTACACAATTAATAGACTTTTTAGTCTATTGGGGCAGAAGACATCTACAACCCATGAAACACTCTCATGTTATAAAGCTGGCTAACATGTTAGTTAATAGATACCTAATTCCACATCCAGCAGAAACAGAGCAACATAACACTTAGTTTTGTTTATCGTATCTTGTGTCCGTCCAATGACTGTTATGACTGCTGGTAGCTTACTTTATCTGTCTGCTGCTTAGTGCTGGGCAGTGTTGGGAAGGTTATTTTTGAAATGTTGTAGGTTTACAGATTACTATTTACCCGTTAAAAATGTACTAAAAAATGTCCTTTCATGCTTCCAGCCAGTTGACCCCAATACTGCCAAACAGTGACCTGCTTAATTCCACAGGGACTGGACGTGTTTCAGTGGAGTTCAGTGACAAAGAGTGTTTTTGGCCGATTTAAGTACATTTATTTGTCATACTTGTTTTTGGATTACTGAGTTGTCTATGGAACTCACCAAATTCAACCATATATCATCTTACTGTCATGTTGCCTAGAACTATGTAACCAGCTCCCAGCAAGTGTTAGCTTGGCTAGATAAAATTTCCACACAGTGGGGTTAGTTTGTAATGTGGTGTTACAACTAAGCCCACTGTGGCGCATTTTCTCTATTTTTGCACTTCAAACTTATGTTCAGTTTGAACTAATTTTCTTGATTAAATTATATATTCTTTGTATTTTTAATTTGTCAGGTATCCTATTGACACACAATTTCACAATCAATATTCATACATTCAAAACTCATATTTTGATATGTGGATCTAAGTTACCCAATCTATGTACATCTATCAGTCCAACCGTTGAATATGCATGGTAGACCAACAGATGGATGAATACCTGTATGGATACCTATCCTTCCCCTGATGTAGATGGAAAGACAGGTATCTACATATATTTTTCCATCAATCTATCACGGATGAAAAGAGAAAAATATATAATATCCACATATACTTTGCATCTGTCTGTGTGCTGATCTTTCCATTTATGAAGCATTGGTGGTTAAGTGAGAGATGTACAGATGTTTGGATATCTATTATAGATCCATAAACAGTATCAACCTACAGTATATAGATAGAATTGTATTGAATAAACTGTGTTTTTCCAGACTTTTCCAGCAAGTGTTACAACTAACCCTCTGCCCGTTACATTTAACCCCACCCATGAGGTACATTGTAACATTCACTTCTGTTTATTTGTAGCAGAGACGTGCATGTTGTGAGAATAAAACACAAAATAATCTCAAACAGTTTTAATAACATTTAGCCATAACTGAAATGTGTTAGGTTGTGCCCTGTTCTCACTTTTAATTAGTAGCTGTAATTGGGTACAATTACATATTATTATTTTGTAATTTAATTATATGTAACTACTTAGACCCCAACACTGGTGCTGGGCAAGGAGCATGCAGCAGGGTTGTGCCATGGATAGAAAACCATGGAGCTAAAAGTGGCTAAAAAGCTAGGCTGGGTGATAAGATGGTTTGGTCACCACAACTGTCAACTTTCAGAGTATACATGATATATGATATTGGTATCAGCTTTGAAAACCACTGTACGACTTATACTATAGCCAGCCATTCTCACTGAGTACCATTCTCACATCTTGCTGTCACACATCCCACCCAACACACACTTCATTAGTGCTTTAATCACCTCAACAGGCATTTAATGGCATTCCTTTGAGTTGATGCAGGGGGCTGGGGGGTTAAAGTATTTACAGTTCCAAACTGTGAAGCGTGGTTGTGTTGGGGGAGAGAAAGTGCAGCAGGGTCGTGTTGCTGGCTGGCCGCGCGTGGTAAAACACCATGGTGTCCTGCTTTATGAGTGGAACCAGGTTCCTCACAGGTCGCTGTTGTTGGTGCAGCTGAGCTGGGGGCCAGGGGCCACCAGTGCCCCAGTTTGATGTGTCGAAGGGTTGTGTTTGTAAAAACAGACCCTTTGATGACACTCTCTCCCTTTTCCAGCAGTCGGCCCCTCCTGCCCTCCAACAGCACCGGTCAATCTGGAAGCCATTTGCTTGGTTTCCACAGAGAAAGTTCAGGCTTGATCACCTCCAGCATCTGCTGAGTGTTTATTTACCCACAGCAATTAACCCATTAGACAAACTGAAATGGGGCAACTGTAGAGCCACTGATCACTTTGGCCCTCTAAGGAAAGGAGCCAGTACTGGGGCAGAATGTATTCCCTAATCTAGACATACACATTACTGATGCACATGTATCTGCAGAGGAAAGATACTTATAGTATTTTGATGTGTACTTTAAAAGACTATGCTGTGCTTATAGTCTAGAAGAACTTTTTTTCTCATTTGATAAATGGTGTGTCTATATATTGATTACATAAAAAGGTTTTGAAATATATTGTCATTTGAAGCTATTTCCATGCTCTTGAAAAAAGACTGCTAAAGCATGTCCCATTCAAATTCACAACTTGAAAACGATCTAATTGTTGTCTGTGAACAGATCAGAAACAGGTAGAGAGACTGTATAGTTTTTGAAAGGAAGTTTGGAAATTTGAGAGAATCATTGTGACGTACACGAAAAGTCTACAAGTTACAGGGGCCACAAGCCCCAAAAGCCTTATGGTATCAACACTTCCAGGTCTACTTGAATGTTTTAGTCTGTTTTCAGAACTTTCAGAAAACATCTGGGGATACAGCTGAATGATTCTTCCAAAAGATATTCCTGCGTTGGGTGTTTTGATTAGGGTGATGGAGAGCACTACCAACACATCCCACTAGTGTGCAGGCCATATAATTCACAGCTACAACTGAAAGATGTTTTGAGATCCAGCAATAGTTCCACATATACATATTACCTACATACTACTAACTACTTACCACAGCAAATGACAATTAGATTTGTTGTTGGGCAGTTAAATAAAGACAGTTGCTTTACATTTTATACTTTGAGTGAACCCAGTTTCAGGTTGATTAGCTGCACCTAGCTAAATCTAACAGCCTAAATGACTGTATGAAAGTTATCAGCATTTTGAGGCTGTCATGTGTCTTAAAACGACAGTTGCTGACAAGAGTGGCTACAGGATGTCATCATGCCAAACATGGCTTTACAGAAAGGATACTCAACTTGCTTTGCAAATTGCCAGGAGGCCAGGGGCCAATTAATAAACAAACATAATAATTACTGTAATATACAAATAATAAGGAATCCTCCTCTGGCATTTTTTGAGGTACACAAAGTCTATTTCAATGCTTTTTATATAGTCTGGCATTATTTAAATTCAAAGTACAAAAACTCTCTTTGTGGTGGTGACATTAAGTCATGTGACCGTGGTGTAGTTTTTATAGCCTTAAGCTGTTTTTTTTTTGTTTTGTTTTTTTTTTGGGTTTTTTTTTTTACCTCTGGATTGCATAGGCTTTAAAGATCATAAAAAAATGTGTTTATTTGTGAAGATTATCTTTTTGAACAAATTGTGTAAGTATCATAACCGTTTGTCTGCAGAGCTTGTTTTAGGCAGTGATCCAAAATCCAATGAATGACAGGGAACCAGGACGATGCTAACTTCCGCATCAGCTTACAGAAAAACGTCATGCCCGAAGCACAAGGCAAGTATGTATCTGCCAATGCACCACAGGACACCGCTTCTTCATGTGCGTGATGCAGGATACACAACGCAGCCACTACGGAACGCATAACCCTCCTTGGCCTAATGCAGGGAGGGGTTGTCCTTTTTATAAGTGAGACATAAGGTTAAGCCCCCCCCATCAGCCTAGTTGTTTGCACAGTCTCTAAAACAACAGCCATGTAATGGATCCTACCTTCATGAATGAATGAAGTTTTAGCTACTCTTGAATTGTACACTGAAATATCTCTAATATTAAGCGCTGTGGAGTGAAAAGTACAATAGTTGTCTACTGAGGTAAAGTTCACATGTATCAATTATACCTAAATACAGCAGGCCATGAGTAAATGGTTTTATGTTGCATCAGTTCTTGTAGTATTTGTGAATCACTGTGCTCTGCCATGAAGCATTCCAGTCTGGTTCATCTGGTTCCAAAGTGTGTCATCATGTCCCTGAAGAGCCACAGTCTTTGGATATGCATTAATGGATGTCAGCCTGTGTTTTCTCTTTGCTCTCCAATCGTAAAAACTAATGGCTCATTTTGGTGATTGTTCGACATAACTCAGCTGATGCCTGTAACTTTTAGAACCAAAACATTTGGGAGGACGGGAGCCCGTGCATGTGCCCCACCCCTCCCCTCACAGCCGCGGGGCCATTGCAGCTGCTATAAGAGCCCTCCCTGACACGATGACTATCTCACTGGACCATCATATGGGGAAGTGTCAAACTAAACTGGGACTTCTGCCGCGTAAACCGTGAAGTTGCAGCCACTTTTACGCACGGCTCTTGTCTGCATGCAGCTGTCCTCTACTTGAAAATAAGGGATTGGCTTTCCCCTGTGAAACACTTGCCAACATATGATGGCTTTCACTATGCTGAGGCCGGTATCGACGCATCCCTTTTCTTACCCCGCAGACCTGACCTTGATGTCGGACGACGAGGAAGGAAACCGCAGCGAGAGCGACGGCAGCACCGACCAGGGCTACGGCTGCTGCGGGATTCCGGGTGAGAGTTACAGGAGGGAGTCCGGCGGCGTTGTGCGGCATCGGAACGCCGCTAACGCCAGGGAGAGACACCGGACCCAGAACGTCAACACGGCCTTCACAGCGCTGCGGACACTCATCCCCACGGAACCGGTGGAAAGAAAACTCTCCAAAATCGAGACGCTGCGCCTGGCGTCCAGCTATATCTCACACTTGGCCAACGTGCTGGTGGTCGGGGACGGAAAAGAGGACGGACAGCCGTGTCTTAGTGCTGTCTACAAGGAGGTGAAGGGGAGTGGAGAGGGAAAACAGCCCCGGAATATATGCACATTCTGCCTCAGCAACCAACGGAAAGGGGTAAACTTTTAAGTAAATATGCCCATAACCGCTCACAAAAGAAAAATACAGTTGCTAGTCAAAACTCCATTTCAGAATTATACTATTTTAAAATGTCTTTATCATTGGCAAGCCTAGCACGCATATAAATTATATCATGTTAGATATTATTTTCCCAAACGTCTACTGTTCAAAATGGCTCATATTGAGTATGTAAAGCTATTTACAATGCAAAATCATTCCTGCAAAATACGCAGCGAGGGATCTAAGTGTGTGCACTGACAATAGTAGAATTTAGGGTGGGTATTTTACAATAAAACGTAATTGATGGACCATGTGTGTGCCGAATTGCCAATAAGACCATAATATTTATTAAAAAGATAATTATCAATGGATCACAGTCTGTTTATCTTCGTTGATGGACGAGGAACCATAAAAGTTGCAAGGTTGGTGCGTTCAGAACGCCAGTTAGATGTCTGAGTTTCAGTGGGTATTGTGTTCAGGACAGCATGGCAGTAGTAGCAACTTAGTGCTGCCATGTGTTTTCAGTAATCCTGGTGTGACATCTTATGCTGGCACACCAGAATGCATTTGTGCTATTTTATTTCAGCATTGTTACACATCAGAATTTCAGGATGAGGGCTTAGAATTTCGTAGGAAAAAAATCTTCCAGTCTTTTTCTATTCTACAAACATACTGAGTTTGAGTAAATTTAGCCTACCTATCTGCTTGACTGCACTTTTACAACAGTTAATCAGTAAAGCAATTTTTGCCTGGAATGAGCCTGTTCCACTTCACAGGCATGGTTATATGACATTGTGGAGCCACAATGAGCTGCATGCATCTCAGTAAAATGGATGTGATCCATCTTGGTTAAACTCTCTGTATTGGGATAGTTTTTTTATTTGTACCATATCATTCAGTGCACTGAGAAATCATCTAAGGGAAAACTGTGTTTTTATCCATTTTGGACAGCTATGTAATCACATTCAACCTGTTAAAATACTCTTAGGAGAGAACATCAAAACATGTGAACTTTGAAATTGTGTTTAGGTCAAAAATAATTCCTATAGATCCACAATGACAATAATTTCCCTCTTTGTTCACAGGTGAAAGACAGGCGAGACTGTGTGAAAATGCATGGAGGCAGTGTGAGACAAATAAGTCGGCGATGAAACTCTGAGTAGGATTGGATCTACTCTTCAGAGTAGACGTCAGGGAAACCTCCACCAACTATTCCTAGAGTCTGGACGCATCTCAGTCTTAGAGGACCACTCTGACTTTTAACTTTGCCTCATTGGTCACTTTACCCAGAATGTGATAAGAGGATTGGCACCAAAACCATCTGAAAGTCTTTTTTTACAGCACACTTACTTATGTCACAGGGGACTGTTGTAATAGTGAGAAAAAGAGTGTAAAGCTGCTATATGGTCATGGATGTTCTTTTTATTCTGATGACAAACATTTTCAGGGGAATAGTAAAATAGACAAATTCTACATGACGAACAGTGCTGAGCAAACGCTCCCTCAATTAATTGGCGTTTAGCCACCAAAAAAGGCCCACGAAAAAAATGACAACAGGTATCAATAAGTTTGCCGATTTTACATCACTGCAATAGAAATAAATTGGCAGTTGTCAACTCGGAAGTGATTGTTGTTAGCGTGACATCATGGTGATTCGGTCCATTGGCCAGTTGATGCTCCTCAAGTCAAGGCAAGAATGGATGCTTCCTTGCTAGGATGGGTCCTTCCAAGTCGGGTCCCACAGAGGCTAGGCAAGACTCCTTCCTAGCATTTGGTGGCCACACATTGGAACAGGCTAGTGAGTGCCAGGTGTGCATCACTGAAGATGCCTTGCCTTTGCCTTCCGGCAAATTATGCACAAATAATTGCGGGTACTTTGTGCCCGCTGAGGATACACATGCTACCTTGAAAATTCTCTAGAAGGAGGACTCTGTCCTTGGTAGAATTCAAAGGATCCTTGACATTTGAACAGTCCTTTGGTGGTATTTGATGATGAAGCCTCTTTGAAATTCAGCCATTTAAGGATCCTTCCTTGACTTTGAGTAGCACCATGAATCTCTAATGTTATTATTTAAACAGGAAGTGAGTAACAGACAGGTTTTTGCATTGTTTACTTGAAATTTACAGAGGTTTGAAATTTAGGAACATAAACATTACCTGCTCTGGATTACTAAAAGTTATCACATAGCAGCATGGATCATGGTCATCTCCTATAATTACTTAAAGGTCCAATCCATAATCCAAATATAAATAAAAGGACATCTTTGCCATTCACATTCAAAGCTAAGGATTTGAACCAGCTGTCACTTTTAGACTATTGACTTAAATTTCTTCATGAACTGACAACAGATGATAACTAAATCCATGTTATCATTTTTTATGATGCTGGTTAAAGTTTATTTATATAAATAATGTTTCCTTTCATCTGTAGGTCAAAATCTTTTGTCACATATGTGGAACTACCAAAGCATTAGCATGACTGCTGGACAGAGGATCAGACATAGAGATGCTCTTTGTGCCGGCCCCTTCATACATGGCATTGGGTGAGGGACTGATGAGACAAACTCCCTTAAAATTTTGCATCCTTCTTTAAGATGACACTAAGAGGATTCTGAGAGGCTTGGCTCACAAACTGATTTGTAGCCTTACAGCAGAGCAGTTTCAGGAATAATAAGTGAGAGGATAGACCAATCCATCCACCTCAGCTGGCATTGTTAAGTTGTGTGCAACAGGACATACTTGTGGGACACTATTTTGTGAGCTTTTTCATGACATGTTGTAATCTACTTTGAAATTAAATTTATTTTTACATAGATGTGGCTCTCTTGTTTTCAAATCTGAAAATGTTGGCATTGTATGTTTCTGCAAGGATGTGCTACATTTACATGTTTTATACATATCATGTCTTGTAAACTCCCACACACTGTCTAACTTGCAAAAATAATGATTTTAAGATTTTAATGCTGCAACTATTTGGTGAACAGACTTTCATCAGGCAAAAACCATGCATATTATATCATCATTTCTACAGTGACATAGCATATGAGCTGACTGTCATTGTGAGGTGGAGGGGATGGCTGAGGTTGTGACACATAGTTGAGATGCCTGCCAAGCTGCTGGAGACCAACAAAAAAAATGGTTGCAATTTAGTGAACCATTGCTGTTTTTCCAGCAGGGATAGTGCCATGAAGAGTAGTTGCTTTCCTGCCAGGATTGTGCCACGAAAAGTGTCTATTGTAAGCCAAAAACATGATCTTTTCCTAAACATTACCAAGTGGTTTTTGTGCCTCAACCTAACCACATATTTACCACAGTGCTGTTAAACAGTAAAAAAACATAAATTTTGGATGTATCCGCAACACAATAACATGCAAATGTGTCCATGGTTTGCAGAAACATATAATGTCATTTTTTTTTCGGCAACTGGGTTGTACATATAATTTTGAAACTATTATCCAGGTTTTGATATATCTGTCTCTTGAGATCTGAATTTGTCCAATACAATACAACAACGTCTCTTTTTGGAGACACTATACACATTGCTCTGGACACTCAATTGGACACGCATTTTGCAGGTGAATTAGTTTCTGATGAAGAAATAGTCCCAATGAAAAGTGTTGACAGTGTGTTCTGTGGACTATTTATAGCTACTGTGTTTGGGTGGAAGCAGAAATCTAAACCAGATATATAAAAACCTGGACAAATGAAACCAAAGCTATCAGCATGGCTAGATACAGTGGGTAGGTGACAAAATATGTTTATGTAATTTAATGTAATTTGTGTGAACATACCCTTTAACACTGCAAGTGTAGTCTGTAGATCAGCGAAAATCCAAAAATAGCCTCTGTGTCTGTACCCCCTCTAGATATGTTCCTGATATTTTTAAAACTTATAAAGCACATTTAAAGTTCATGTAAATTTAGGACAGATGGAGCCCAACAAACAAACCACTTAACCATTACTGGCATCTTCTGCCTGTAGCTACACAAAGGAGGAAACCTATACGGGGAATTCCAATGAAGGTTTACCCTCTCCGTCTGTGTAATGCCAAAGAATCTCAACAGAGGAAGTAATCAATCTCTTCCTCAGCGGGCTCTCTCTCAAATCGTTGTATCCCAGCAGTATCTGACCACAGAGAGCCCTGTCAGGGTGGTAGGTGCACAGTGCCAGTTAGGAAGGCATGAATCAGAGTCAACTCTAGGAAAAGGTAAAAGGCAAAACAGGAAAGACACAAATTAGTGTTGTTGGATCTATTGTGGTGACTGATGATTACTCATGGGGACCATCAGGGAGTGGAGCACATTACTGGAGCCATGCCAACAAGATCAACCATGGAGAGGAAAAAGCAGAGTTTGGTGTTAGAGCTGAAAAAAGCACTTGCAAGTTCACAGATTTGTGCATTCTCAAGTTTGACAAATCAAAGACAGAATAAGGCTTTCTTTATGCAACTAAAACTGGAGTAGCTCATTTTCTGTTTTCATGAATAACACCATATTCAAAGTTCTGGACATCGTCGTGGTATCCAGGAAAATACAGAAATCTGAGGGCTGATCTTTGGTATGACTCTGTTCTGGTAGTAAATCTCCTGGGCTGGGATCCACATGTGGAGTTGATCAGTCACAGCTAATATCACCTAGCACCCTGTATCCAGACAAACACAGCTGCTGATGAATTAATGCTATAGAATCAGTGTACACGCAGAGACAGATAGAAAACCAAAAAGCAGCAAAAAGAGATCAGAGGACTCAAAGAAGTGCTTAAAGGGTGAATGCCAGCAGACTGATCTGAAAATCTGAAACAATCAGATAATGTCTTGAAAATAAATGAAGACTAGATGTGATGGATAACCTCTTTCAAACAGATCTGAAGTCTCTACAAGCTGATATTCATAGCGACATAAACTGAAAAATGTTAAAACACTGCAGCATTTCTTGAAAAAAAAAAAAACAGCGTTAAAGGCATTGCTTGGCATTTTAGGAAATATTCACTTTCTTGCGGAGAGTTAGGTGAAAGGATTGATATCATTCTCATAACTGTATGATAAATAGGGTGCTGCAGGACCCAGTTCTTAAACGCAGAAATCAGCATTTAATCACTCCTGGTTCCCTCGTCTTGAAGTCAATGGGCTTTTTGAATGGGTTTTTGGTTAGATATCTGAAATAAGGTCTGTGGTTCACACAAGCTGAAGAGGCTTTCAGGCTTTGTTCAACAACATAAAATACGTCAGTAAGTACCAAAGTCGTGAACTTTGAAGCTTTTATGTGTCTTAAAAAAGGCGGTTGCTAAATGAGTGGCTAAATGAGACAATAGAACGTCATCACCCCATCCAGGGCTTTAGAGGATGTGCTAACTTCTGTGTAGGTTTATAGAAAGACGTCATCCACTGGGCACTCTATAAGCTCTGTGGTTAACACAAGTTTTAGAGACTTTAATGTTTTTTTCTTGGACATAACACACACCACTTAATACCCCTTAATTTTTATATGTCTTGGAAGAAGCTGTTGCTAGCAAGTGGCTGTAATTCATTTAAAGCCTGATGTTAATGGAACTAGGGTGATGGTGGCTTCTGGGTTGGCCTACAAAAAATGTCAGCCCTGCACCACTCCATATGTAGCTACAGCCAGGAGACAGTTAGCTTAGCTTAAAAACTGTCTGACAGCACCTCTAAAGATATTCGTTTTTGTTGTGGGCTATTTCTAGGCTAGTTGTATTCCCGTTTCCACACATTTTGCTGAGCTAAGTGGCTGCTGGCTTTATATTTACTGAACAAGAAAGTGAACAAGTTTATGTCCCAAAATGTTCCTTTAAGTCCTTTAAGTACATACAATTTATGGTACATTTTTTAGATTCCTACAATCCGGTCTGATTTCACATTTTACTAATGTGTTTTTGCTCAAAGTAGACAGGATTTAGGATTACTGCACTGTAGATTCATGTATTTTGGATTTATCACTGCAACATATGCAGCTTCTATGGAAACTGTGCTTTCATGGAAAAAAGTAATTTTATAATGTTACACATCTATTCTCTGTTGAGACTAGCACATACATGTACACTACAAGACTTTATGATAGGGGCTTTATATTTCTGCCATAATCATTCCTTTACAAAAGTATTCTAAACTTACTCATAATCACAGCGTGAAGTGCAACAGACGAGTCACAGCCTTCCATGAGATTTATGGCAGATTTAAACATTTGACAACACAGTTATGACTAAACTGAATCCCTTAAATCAAACCTGAAGTGATGTTTGGAGGTACACCCCTCTGGAAGAACGTTATTGCACTCACAGTCCTCTGGGGCAGCGCAAATAACTGAAGACTTGCACAAAGGATCCCAACCCTCCAGTTTCTCTCCACCTGCCAGTGCTAAAGCCTAATTAGAAGCTGCTGTGTGAGCTTATCCTGCAGCTCCAAGGGCCCAGCGGAGCCCCGCTCAATGGCTCCCAGAGGCCCCCGCAGGCAGGAAGATGTCATAGAGGAACAGGAAGGAAAAGGCCTGAGCGCTAGACCCTGCCGAGGCCCTCCCTGTGGGGCCCTCAGCTCTGGGTCAGTGCCAGCTTTGACATCAATCGGGGCCCAGATGACCCACTGTGCTCAGCTGATGCTTATTTTAATTCCTGGGT